CTAATACAAATCTAGAGTCCTTAGCATGTAACTTAAATCTGCATAGGTTTGCTTTATGAGATTTAGGGTATTCATAATTTTATGAATAATTCTTGGCCTGCTAATAATAGGCTTGTAAACCCATTCATTGTAATTATCTGATATTTGAAGAAACTCAAATTTTGTTAGTTAGTTTTTGATCAGCCCCACTGAATTCATGGTGCTATTTCTTTTCTTCAGTTGAATGAGTACAACTCTTAGCATCAAGCCCTCAGTGGGCATGTCTGTATGAGACACTTTACTGCACATTAAATTAATCTAATGCACAGTAAAGCATCACCTTCTACATGTGCACAGCAACTACTGTGCAGTAAATTAAAGTGCCATTTGCTAGTTAATGGTACTAGAAAACTGCTTTAAATTAACATATGGAAGTGCATGTGTAGACACTGACCAGGAGCAAATTGCTTCCAGTCAGCCCAGGCAGCAGAGGGCCACAGCTGCTGTCTGGCTAAACCCAGGGCCAGATTAACCTTTTAGTGGGCCCTAGGCAAACAAACTCTTGAGCCCTGGGCCAGTCAAGACCCCCCTCCCCACCCTGGTGCTGCCGCCTGTGGGGAGTGGGGCTTGAGCTGCCACTAGAAAGCAGCCACCACAGCAGTGAGGCCAGTGGAGAGGAGGGGAAGGGAAGGGAGGCGGATGGGGCCATTCACACTGGTGCCACCGAGGGAATGACTCGAGCCCCCTGCAGCTCAGGGCCCTAGGTGTTTGCCTATGCATTAATCTAGCCCTGGCTAAACCCTGAGCCCTGGCAGGAAGGTGGGGAGAGCTGTTCCGGCTCTGGGGGCAGCTCCCTCCCAACCACAGGGAGATTGGGGTTGGCCCTGAGCCCTGGAGGGTGAGGGGAGCTGTTCCAGCTCTTTGCAGCTGGAAAGGAGCTGCCCCCAGAGCCGGAACAGTTCCCCCATGCCCTGGGGTTCGGGGCTGCCCCTATCTCCCAGAGACTGGAGGGAGGTGCCTCCAGAGGCGGGACAGCTTCCCCTGCCCCTCAGGGCTCTAGGCTGTCCCTGATCTCCGTGGGGCTGGAAGGGAGCTTCCCCCAGAGCCAGGACAACTCCCCCCACTCCCTGGGACTTGGGGCTAGCCCCGATCTCCCTGTGGTTGGAAAGAGGCTTCTGCTGGAGCTCTTCCTGCCCCCCTGGGGCTCAGGGCCAGCCCCAATCTCCATACAGCTGCAAGGGAGCTACCCCCAGAGCTAGGACAGCTCTCCCCACCGCCCAAAGTGCAGGCCTGACCCCATGCCTCCTGCCAGCTAGGGGATAGCACCTGGGGGAGTCTGGAGCTCCCTCTGGCTTATGTAGGGGGCCAGAGCAGGGCAGGAGCAACCCTGGACTATGCTGCTCCTGTCAGGCTCAGTTTGTTCCTGATGCAGGTGCACATGCAGACATGTGCCCTAATATGCCTGAATCTTCTGCACAGAAAATTCAGGTGCATTCATTGCACATATAGCCATGCCCACTATGAATGCTGAGTGTTGAGTTCAAAATTTGCTTTACCCTTGCCATTTTACTGTTAGTCTTACAGGGCTTAATATTCTTCTTAAACCTCAGTTGCTGGACTCACGGGATAACATTCACATCTCAACATTCATTTTTAAGAAAAGTAAGTTTCTAGCCTTCGTGAACACAGAAAAAAAGTTTGAAAACATGACGTGAATGTGCTGTATAGGCTCAGAAACAAGAAGGAAAACGGGTTGGTCAAAATTATTTTTCCAAAATCCATTGTTTTTCCCACAATGTTGTATATCTGGTAGCAATTTCAATATTTCAATGAAAAAACATAAGTCCCTAAATCCAAAATATTTTGGTCAAATCCCAAAATATTTTAATTCAAAATGGAACCATATTTGCTGGATGTGTAGTTCAGGTGCTTTATGTACCTCTTGTCCTCTATGACCAGGTCTCTTTGGCTAGACTGCGCCTCTCAGGGCAAAGGGTGATTGAGAGCAGGTAATGTGCTGCAGTCTGCTAAAACAGTTCAGCTTACAGTATTTGGCTGTTGTTTGGGCACTGTCCAGGGGAAAGGTAAACTCTATTTTCTGAGCAATCGTAGACTGTCTAAAAATATGCTGTCCTTTTAAATGTCTCTGACAGTAAACAAGAATATTTGCATAAACACACATGAAGTAAACATGACTAAAGCTAATTCAGTATTTTACAGGAGTGAATGTTCATGAAAAAAATATCTGGGCTCTTTTTTCAGCCCTGCTTTAAATCACTGATTCATAAAAAGATAGGGTTGGAAGGGACCTTGAGGGCCTATCTATACTGTGGCAGCAGAGTGGCTCCCTCGGGGCATTTCCAAGAATGCTCTATCTGCCAACTCTTGCTGACACACTCTAAAACCAAAAATACAGTGTGAAGACACTCCAGGATATCCCTCTGCAGCTGCTTTTGAAGCTTTGGTCTCTGGTGTGCTCGACTGTTTTTGGGGATTACCACAAGGCATACTCACTAGTATATTTCTGGATTTGGAGTGCGCCTACAGGAGCAGGTGGGCTGGGTGTGCTTGAGACCATCCTGGCTTCAGCATGGCACACTGTGGTGTAAAACTGAGATAATCTAGTTCAGCCCTGGGCACTGAGTGAGGCAGAGCCCAGTACACCTTAGACTATCTCCAGTAATTGTTTGTCTAACTTTGTTTTTAAAACCCTCCAGTGAAGCAAATTTACCAGGTTCCCTAGCTAGCATCTAGTGTTTCATTATCTTGACAGTTTTTTCTTAATATCAGCCTAAATGTTCCACTGGAAATTAAGTTTCTTTCTTCTTGTCCTTTCCCCTGTGGCCATAGAAAACAACTCATTGCCATCTTTATAATATCATTTTTTTTTTAATTGAAAGACTTTGAATGTCTTTCCTTATTTTTTACCCTCCTAAAAAAAAGGGAAATAAAACAAAAATATTTTAAGGATACAAAAAATGAATTCCATTTGAGGTGCATTTATCACAGAAGATAGTTTGGTGGAAAGGAAGCTCTTATGAGTTTACCCAATAGAACTTCATGCCTTTAAGCCATGAAATGTTCCAATTTTCTGTCTTGTCTTCAGGCAAGCTTGTCAAAATGGGAATGCTAACTTTCAGAAGATTTTGTGGTTTCATTTCAACATTTTCAGAAATTGTTTCAGTTCAAATTCTTAAATGCAGTGAAAATCTTCTATTAATTTTGACTTAAATTTAGATTTCTACCTGTTCCCTTACTTTTATGATTGTCCTTTTTTTCTGCATTTGAAAAGAAGAAAGAATATGAAATAAGAGACTGATTTTTTTTTTCTCCTTCCCCCTCCCGCCTATATTCTCACACATTTTCTCCCCGCTGGAATAAAGGGGGAAAAGAAAAAAAGAATATTTAAAAACTGAGAGAAAGGAGAGAGACAGAGCAGAAAATGGGAAGCATTTTAAAAATAAAAAGTTTGGTTTGAAATAGTTGATTTTTTGGAACAAAAAATTAACAAGAGTATCAATATTATCTGAAAAACAGAAGGCAACAAAAAATTAAAACATGTTTTTAGGTTGAAAATATCTTTTAATCATTAAAAAATATGACCAGTCCTTCTTTAATCAGTTTGAAAGATGTACAAACAGCAAGTGCAGCCATTAGTTGGGTAAAATCACCTTTAGTGTTTGATGCATCATGTTTCTGTAACAGACTAATTATTGCATACCTTTTATTTTACATAGTTGCCCACAAGTTATCAAGGATGAAACGCTGTCAGTTATCACAAATGGAGAAAGTGCAGATGCAATGTTTAGGATCCAGATGTTCAAATTTGTTGGTATCTCTTACAATGATGTGTTCCTGCACTGCACAGTTCAGATCTGTCATAATACACCTGCTGTTTGCAAACCGGTAAGGTTTGGATTATTTTTATGTGACAGGAGGATAGGAATTAAGTTGTTGTTTTTAGACCAAGCTGAGGAAACTGTATTGTATTGTAGACTGAATATGGGCTTGGCAATCAGAAGCTCCTGAGTTGTAATCTTTGCTACTTGGACATTTGGGCAAAAGACCTAACCTTAGCTTTCCCACCTGCAAAGTGAGAATAGTAATTCTAAACCTAGGAACAATCAGCAAAGGTTTATATTTAAGATTAATGTTTATGCTGATAAATCAAATGAACCAAACACAAAACAGAAAATGTTACCCCTTACAGAGGCAAAATTTCCAGTGAAACCAATGAGTGTTTGCCTGAGTAATGTCACATAACTTGGATTGATATTTAAAATTATTTTTAGAGCTGTGTACCCAGCAATATCCAAACACATATAGAAGACAAGGACCAGGCTTCTGGAAGCTTACAGCTTAATTTAGACATGTATGTTATAGCAAAAAAATGTATAGCATGAACTTGCTTCCTTTGGATCAGAAGATGTAACATGGTATGAGACGGCATTAAATATTAGTGGATCTAACAGGAGCTATAACTAGTTGACATTTAAAAGCATTCAGTTAATGAATTATGGGCTGCTGAAATAGAAGTTTTCTAATGGGAGCAACATAATATTTCATCTCAGAAGTACACTTTTACCTAAAACTGTTTATGTAGATGGATGTTTTCTTATTATCTTATTAGCAATAAAACTGATTGCATCTTTCATCACAAAAGACAGAACAAAAGAGGAATCTTTTTTGACATCATAAGGGAAGATACTGTACAGTTTCCTCAATACTTGTGAGACATTGTGGTTCAGGCTGTAATGTCAGTGTGATAGTTGTTTAGTCATTAATGGCAGCTGCAGAATAATAACAGTGCTTCATACGTTGGCTTGTTTCTTCAGAATTACCTCTAAAAGGCCACCAAGCTGACATTAAGCAGGGAAAGAAATCAAAGCAGAAGTCAGTATGACATTTTGGAAATTGCCTCAAATAAAACCAGATGCTAGTACTGAAAGTCACAAGACAGTATATCAACACCAGTAGTAAAGTCTGCCACTGACCATGTAGGGTTTGTTTTTGACCACTGATTCATTTATCTTTTATTGCTGAACACCTTGTCTTGTCAGATATTTTTAAGTTTAAATTATATGCACGTCCTTTAAATAAAAAAACCCCTTTTATTTGTAAAACAGAAACAAACCAACAAAACACTTTTCTCTGTTAACCTGTTATTCAAAAAAAAAAATCAGCCAGTTCTCTTACCACCTTCATGATTCAAAATTTTGGGCGTATAACATCATCAGGAAAAATAATTATTTTTCAAAAGACAACAACTGAGTCATTCAGATTTGCACCTGGTTTAGTACATGTATTCTAAATATTAAAAATCCACAGACATTTTTAAGTCATGGGAATTAAAAAAAAAAAAGAAATTGAAGTCTTATTCTTTTTCTTAACTTTACATTGGTGTAAATTGGGATTAGCTGAACTCACTAGTCATATGAATGTATAAAACTGATGTGAGAGGAAAATCAAGCCCTAGAAATTTGGGCCAAATAAACATAGGGACAATTTGAAAGTGTCTAAAGTTCAAGCTGCAGTGTCACTGAATCCATGAAGCTATGCCTGAATGTGGCCTCTAGTGTAGATATATTTTTATTTTTCTTTAGCTGACAAACAGGTTTTCCCCAGTTTTTGGAACACTAACATAATAAAATTGTGCTATTAAAACCCCGTAAAACATGCCCTGAAATGAAAACACCTCTGGTGTCTTGAGATACCAAAATTTGGGAGGATGTAGGTGCCCATTGTTCAGTAGAAAATTTGGTCTGCTATAAAATGCTTTCAGTATTTTCCATTTTGCTGTAAACTGCAGATTTGCCCAGGAGGCACTGGGCAACTCCTGAGAGTCAGCTCTCTTCTTCTGACGTTGGACAACTCCATTATTCAGGGCATTCACAAATTTCCACCATCAGCACATGTGTTTGTGAAGCGAGAATAACTCTCACCCTAGTAACTCCTTTGCACAGCTGTGGGTGGAGGGACTGATATGCTCAGTGCCCAACCAATGGAATGGGGTTTTATTTTTGTCTGTGCAGCTGACCTGGATGTCCAGTCCAAGCGTATTGCAAGACCGTGAAAGGGGTAGAATTTCTGTCTCCTGATCTTTGTTGATATTGATGCTGAAAGTTTTTCTTGATTCCAGATCCTTATTTTTCAATATGAATTGATCTTTCAAACTATATTAGCTATTTGCTGAGATTCCATGCATTCAGCCCAGGAACCCTTTCAAGATTTGTTCCCAAGTGATGACACTTTTGGGAAAAACCCACTCCCCTAAAAGGATGTTGAGATACTCATAGTCATTACTGAGTGGGGTTCCCCTGATATCCCTGCCAAGAACTATACTGACTTTTTTTGGAAGTCTTAAATTTTGCCTTTAGAAAAGAGGAAAGTGTAAGGTAACCTGACTTGACCTGTGACTTCAAGAGAGGTAACATTTCCTCCTCAGACTAGATATCATGTTCCGTAAAAGCAGAGACTCTTGGCTGGATCAAGTTAATTGTTTTGGTGGATAAGAGTGAAAAGAAAACTTAATGAAAAAGCTAAATGTATTAAAATTGGAAGAGTCCTACACAAGACCTTCTGAAATAACCTTTTAAATGTGTACATTTATTGCAGTATTGCTGTACAGCCATCCCTCTTCTCAGCAGCATTACTCACTTCTGGAGTTTGTCAATGTCAGGCTGAATGCTGTGCCTATTAAACTGGCAGAAATGCCCCTGATTCATCCACTTGTGATTGATCCATTTCAGCTTTGTTATGCAGCGCCAACCAGGTGCCAGCCATTCTTACAAGAGTCACAGTAACTATACTTTGCATCTGCAATGCACCAAAACTTAAGCAGAGCTGAGATTTCTTGATACATATATTCCCTTTATATAGGCTTTACTGAGAAATAATGTACCTTTTTAATAAGGAAGCAAGTGGTTTCCTTTAACCAGACCTGTCAACATTTGAGAAAGAGAAATGGGAACACTTGCTGGAGTTTGCAAAGTAACTAACTGAACTCAGTGGGCATGCCTTGATCTCCCCCAATTAAAAAAAAAAGAAAAAAATACCATGTAAAAGTTTTAATTATTATCCTAATATTTAATATTCTGCAATCCAGAAAGCAGATTTTAATACACTACTGTATCTAATAAGTTATTAGAGTAGCTGGTACTAATTCTGCAATATTTTTGCAGCTGGAGTCTGTGCATTAAGATAGTTAGGCAAGAGCCCTAAAGCTGAGTCAGATATTCTGTCTTGAATCTCATTAATTGCTCTGGCTGTTGCTGTGCATGTGTATACACGAGAACAAATTAATCTCAACTGATCATTTGTTTCTTGAACACTCTTATCTACATTTTTTTTTTACTAAATGACATTAGTGCTTGTTGACAGGTGTACAGAACACCATAGACTAAGTGCAGTAATCAGCACCAATGCAAGCTGTTCCCTGATGTCCCTGGTAAACTGGAGGCATTATGTCAGGTTGCAGGGTCCTTCCATCTTCAGATCTGTTCAGTCATTTTTCCTTCTGCTGAGAAGGGCAAGAAAGATGCTGATTATGGTTCTGTTACGAAAGTGATCCTATTTGTGCTTTTTTTTGTCACCTTGTTAAACATAGACCACCACATTCATTTTATATAGGTCACTGAATAACCACCAGATGGTGGCAATTTAAATTCAATCACAACAAAGCATACTGCCCTGAATGGCATGGCCCATCAGAATAGAAAAGCAGGTAACTGTTTGCAAGATCAAGTCACTACAGATCTGAGATAAATATGAGCTAGTGATCTATATGGGACAGCTTTGTTTTTTTCTGTTATGAGTTACCTGACTCACAGATGTTCCAGCTTCATAAACTCCAAGACGCATGTGAGTATTCACTTGGTTAAGACGGTTTGGACAGGGATGGTCCTGCCCTGAGGAGGGGACTTGGACTAAATGACTTCCTTGACATACTTTCCAGCCCTGTTCCTCTCTAATTTTACATTAAATATGGATTTGTATCTATAGGTGTCACTGTCCTCTCTTGTCTTATCACTAACATTTTCTGTTTACAAAGTTGGTGGAATTGTTGATTCATCTAATCATAGGTTTTTAAGGTGATGTGAGGAATGTGAGTTTCTAAGGATAGTGAATGTGAGTTCCTTAACTTCCTTTTGGGAAGGATTTGTGTATGTAAGTGAGGGTACTTACTGTTTGCAATTTGTTTTACCAGAATTGTACTAATTATGGCGAAATTATTAGAAATAAGAGAGATGCATCATCATTTCCTACTCGCACTGTCTCTTATGGTCCCATCAAGCGAAAGATGGATGGTAATGAAGAAGCAAATCTAAGTAAGTGATTCATAAAGTCAGGTTTTAAAATACAATGCCTGGAATGATCTCTGTAGCATATTTTTAAAAGTCATAAATGTCACAAATGTGACATTAACAGTTAGATTTTTAAATGCACAAAAATCCAGGAAGATCAAGCTGACGCATACCATAAGCAATTTGCTTTCCTTTTGTCTAACTTGTATTATTTTGTATTTATTTATATGTGCCTCATTCTGCAGAGTGTTTCTGGATGGTTCTGAACATACTTACCCCTGCTAGAAAACATGACATACAAGGAAAAGTTGGAAGAAATTGAGTTTAGTCTGGAGAAGAGAAGACTGAGGAGAAATTTAATAACAGTTTTCAAAAGCAAATTGAAAAAAGGTTGTAACAAAGAGGACAGCAATTATAAAGAGGATGTCCTCTGTGTCCACAGGGGACAGGACAAGATATTATTTTAAATTGCATCAAGGAAGATTTAGATTGGATATTAGGAAGAGCTTTCTAGCTACAGGAGAGTAGGTAAATATTGGAATAGATTACCTAGAGAGGTTGTAGAATCACCGTCTCTGGAGATTTTTAATTAAACGAATATTTGTCTGGGATGGTTTAGACAGGGATGTTCCTTTGTTAAGTTGAGTTTGGACCAGAAGACCTTCCAAGATCCTTTTCCACCCTGTTTTTTTTAAGATTTTCTGATTCTATAATACAGTGGCCCTGTGATGTATGAGTGAGTTTTGATGGAAACCCTAAACATGAATTGGGGGTGAGGGGTTATGTCCAAAAATTTAGAATATTTTTTTACGTGGAGAAAACCAGGATCCCTGCTGATCACCAGTATGACTGATTGATTCAAATCAGCAGTGCCAAATTAAGCTACATATATTTAATTTTTGAGAAAAGGTATCAGTGAATTTGAATCAGTGATTTGAATTATTTTAGGTCCTTTGTTCTGTTTTAAAAAATATAATAATTATGTATCAAGCCAACAGTACGTCTTGGAATTATGATATCCATTGAAATGGAAAATACAGTATTTAAGGATCACTGTCCTCCAAATTGGCCGAATCCAAATCTGAAGCCGAATGCTTGCTGCGTTGCACAGGCTTATTACCCACTATTAAGATATGATACTGGATAAGACAAACTACTGGTCTGAGCCAGTATGAATATCCCTATTTTTCTATATGAATTTTGTCTTAGCCTGAAATCCTTGTTGTTATTTCAAAAATCACACATTAAATAACTGTTTTTCTCCTATAAAACAAGTTATTTTATTAAAAAAAACCCAAAACCTGATATCACAGTTCATTGATTTTCTATGAGTCTTTTAGTTATCTCCAGAAATTGTTCTTCCCCATTGGTTAGAGTCAGGGACAGTACCTGAATATCAAAGGTCATTAGAATATGGTATCATGGAAAGGATCAGTCAGCCTTTATTATAGGTTAAAATGAAGAGCCTGTTTCTGATTTACAGGAAAGCATATACTCTATATCAGTTTGGCAGTTAAAGGGACCCATAAAGTGAGCGTCAATGTAATCTCATAATTACTTTCTCTACATCTTCTTTACATTTCTACCACCTTATAGCTCTTTTTATCATCAGTGTAGTGTAAAGGGCTTTAGCATAAGCCAGAATCAAATCCAGTTTTGGACCACCACTCCACAAAGGATGTGGACAAGTTGGAGAGTCCGGTAGAGGGCAACAAAAATGGTTAGGGGATTGAGGCATATGACTTCTGAGGAGAGGTTGAGGGAACTGGGCTTATGTAGTCTGCAGAAGAGAAGACAGAGAGGGGATTTGATAGCAGCCTTTAACTACCTGAAGCGGGGGTTCAAAGAGGATGGAGCTGGATTGTTCTTAGTGGGGGCAGATGACAGAACAAGAAGCAATGGTCTCAAGTTGCAGCAAGGAAAGTTTAGGCTGGATGTTAGGGGAAAACTTTCTCACTAGGAGGGTGGTAAAGCACTGGAACAGGTTACCTAGAGAGGTGGTGGAATCTCCTTCCTTGGAGGTTTTGCAGATTTGGCTTGACAAAGCCCTGGATGGGGTGATCTAGTTGGGGATGGTTGCACTTTGAGCAGGGAGTTCGACTAGATGACCTCTTGAGGTCCCTTCCAACCCTCATTTTCTATGATTCTATGAATTTTATATGTTAAAGCCCCAATTTTCCTTTACATCAAGGGTCGGCAATGTTTTTAGGCAGAGTGCCAAAAATACCCGGAACCTCGACTTGTAAGATGTTGGCATGCTGGAACAGATGACTGGGGAGCCACAAAGGGACCCGATCCTAGTTGTGGCAGCGCAGCCCTGGTCCCTTTACTACCATCCTCTGAGGCATGCTTGCACCTGCCACAAGCAACAAGCTGAGCTAGGGTTCTGTGGACCCTGATGCAACTGCTTTCAGCCTCCCTGTCATCTGCTGTGAGCAGCCTGGGCTCTGTGGCAGGCAGCAGTGACCTGCTTAGAGCTCAGACCAGTTGTGGCAGGCAGCTGGGAGGCTGCAAGCAGCTGCACTGGGATCCATGGAGCCCCAGCCTGGCTCGTTGCTGGTGGCAGGTGCACACATGCCTCCGGGCAAACAGAAAGAAGCTGAGGCTGCATTGCCACAATAAGAATCAGGCCCTTTGCAGCTCCCCCACCATCTGTCTGAGGCATGCATGCCAAGCAAAATGCCATCATATCCCATGCTCTGGCATGCATGCCACAGGTTGCCAACCCCTGTTTTACGTTAAGTCAATTTTACCCCATGCTTGCAGTGTGAAAGGTCATTGAAGTGAGCATAAATCACTCAGAACAGGTAAAGGGGCTTTAGTGTCCATGGGAATTAAACACAATACAAGTATTTTTAAATGATTTTTTTTTTTTTTAAATCTGAACGTTTCTTTTTGAGCCACTAGCACCTGATCTTAGACATGGACATTTTTGTGGTGCAGAGCCCATAGTAGCCACAAGAGTTCATGTGTAGCTTTAAAAACCAATCTGTGTCCTCTTTGCACTTCACTTATCTCCTCACATCCCACGGCCACCCTTCAAAGGATCTCGCGGCACTCCAGGGTGCTGTGTGACACCCTGGGTGAGAAGCACTGGTGTAATCCAACTGCAACAAGTGGGATTATATCATAGCGTGCATTAACCATGCTCAATGCCTTCTTAATATCTCAGAAAGAGGATATGTTATTCCTGAATTTCCAGCTGATGCAGGGGGGAGGGAGGCATGATGCAGGCGCAGCTCACTCTGGGCGGAAGGGGGCAAATCCCTGAATTAATACGAAGCCAAAGAAGAATCCCAAAGGACAAATGATCTCAGGAACAATCATAACTGACAGATATGAAACAGTAGGACAAGGGACCCAGGATGATGAAAATAACCACTCTCACTATAACAATCAATGAAGAAGAAATATACCTTGGATCTAACACATCCCCACCCTTCAGGGTTGTCTTTCTGCTCTTGTATTTAAAAAAAACTAGAGAAAAAACCATAAGATCTGTTCCTCATTAATACACCCTAACAGTCCTTTCCTGCCTTCATTGTTCATGGAATTAGAAGGAAGATTGAATACTGGGTGAACAAGAGAAAGGGAGAGCACTTACAAGAATTCACACTCCCCACCAGCAAATCAACTGTTTTTCTCTGCTTTTGGGTTTGGGTTCTCGCTTCCTAGATAAATGATCCTGGTATACATTTCTTTTGGAGAAATCTAAACTAATTTTTCTACATGTGTATAAGATCAGTTCATAATTAATGTAAAATGGGAAAACCCTGATCTGTGCCAAGTAATGATATAAGTTTGATTTTATGACAAGGAATTCTTCTGTAAACCTTTTCTGTTTTTTCCAGTCCCCACAGATGGAAGAAATCTTCCTCCTGTAGAAAGCTTGGTTCTTGGTGGAGTGCTAATGGCAGTTTTAGTTATAACTGGAGTCTTTGGAAAACTTTTACTTCAGTCAAGAAGAGCCTATCCTCCTATGCAAGCACAGCTAATTATGTCACATTTTCACAACTCAGAAGTACCATCGTGATCCAGTGACTTCCCCATATTTGATCTGATGCACAGCAAGTGTCATAAGATGTAATAGGAACATAATCCTACCTCCAAGTAACCGTTATTTTACAAAATTAAATTTTTTATTTGGGTACAACTGAATCATACGAATTATTGTGGTATGCTCTTCTGTTCACTTCCATGCCACTATAGTTTACAGAAAATGAGTACAGTTTAAAATAATGCATGATGAAAATTTTACTTTCTAAGATTTTATTTTTTGCAGGTTTATTGTGATTTTTCTCTATCAAGGAAAAATCTGTTCCCAGTTGTTTTTATGGTATAAGCACCAAATGACTTGTCACTTTCTTTTGAGTTTCATAAGACAAACAGAGACTGTTCTTTTGATTGAAGTTGTTGCTGAGTCACAGCCAAAAGTGTATGAACACAGACTTTATCACTGTGGCTGTATTCCAATGACTACCAGGGCAGCAAAAATAACTCTTGTTCTCCCCTTCCACTTGAGTGGAAAAAATGTAATTCAGTGTCTCATCTTAGTGGGACTTAGACAGGACTCCCATGCCACCTGCACCACCACTTTAAGTGTATGAAGAAATTAATTTTTCCATTTTTTGAGATGAACATAAATCCTTGATATCTTACTCTGACTATTTTCTTCTGAATCTGGGAAGCTGTTTCAATATGAATAAAATTTGTAGTCTAGACCTAATCAGATCCTTGTAACAGGGTAAAAGCACAGGACAGCTCAAGGTTTATTGCAGAAATACAGCTGGCACCAATTCATAGTAGGCTTTTTAGGTATTACAATATAATTGATTGACTATGAAGGTAATTGTGTTGACCCTAACCCTAACTCAGTTAGAATGCTAATGTAGGTGGGATTTAAAATTGCCCTTTCCCTCTACTAAGGCATAGGTCTTTCATGCTTAAGGTTGGGAATCACAGGAGAGAGTATGACAGTTTCTGAAATTGTTTCTTTTATAATGTCAGTATGCAAGATAATATAGCACAGAATTACTAGTATTAGTGTTATTACTTTTCAGTATTACAATCCATATACACTTTGATGTTTTGGGATCACACAAAACTTACATAGGAGCAGAACGGATCATAAGTGAAAGGGTCATAAGCAGGGATCCTGGTTTTCTCTGTTTAAAAATCCCCAAATTCTCTGATTAAAAACCCTGAAATCTGTGTTTTTCTGCAATTAAAATGAAACGCCACTATATACAGGTATCAGTTGAATACAATGTTTTATTGCTATGTTTACATTGTTAAAGCAGTTTGAAAGCCTACTGGTGCCTCAATCATTAGACTAAAATAAATTCTAAATACCTATATATTTTAGTGTTTTGATTTTTTTTTTTATCATGGAAAATCAGAGCTTCCCCTGCCCACTTCATTCATCAGCATGTGGACCCAGCTGCAGCTGTCCCCCTCACTGCTGCGTGGTGCTGAGCAGCTGTGATATGCCAGTGCCCCTCTCTCAAGCTACAGTGCTCCCACCCTTGCTCCTGACCTGCAGCCTCCGTCACTGCAAGTGCCCCTCAATCCCAACCCACAGCCCCTCACCCCGCAGCCCTGCTGGAGCCCCTCTCTCCCGACCTGCTGCTCCCATCCCCAGTCCCCAGTGTGTAAGGATGGGGGATAGATAGGTGTGTGGGTGGGGAGGCCAACCATAGGTATGGTTAGGGTGGTCTAGGGGTCACATACCACCCCCCCCCCCAGGTTTTTGCTGCCACAGAGGGGCATAGGGCTGCAGCCTGGCCAGTGAGTGGGACCTGGAATGGAGCCACGACTCATTGCTGCTGCTGCCGAGACTCCCATGCCAGCCGTACCACTAGCAATGCGAGGAGTAATGGACCAGGGGGCCACACTGCCCTTGCCGCCCCCTGCCACCAGCTGCTTGCAGGCTGGGCCATAACTCTACCACACTGCCATAGCCCGGCCACCACTGCCACTTCTCCACTCAGGCTGCCCATGCTTCACCTCCCCTCCAGGACAGAGCTGCAGCCTGGTGCATGAGCAGCTGACAATGCAAGGAAGTAAGGGCAGCATGGCCCCCCTCCCCAGTCCATTACTTCTTGGGCTGCTTGTGGCATGGCTGGTGCAGGGGTCCCAGTGACAGAAGCGGCAGCAGCATCAGGTCTCGCTGCCCTTCTCTACCCTCCTGCACTGATTCCTGCCCCCTGGGCCGCAGAGGCAGCTCCTGCTTGTGCAAGTCCAGCCAGACTGCAGTCCTGTGCCCCGCTGTGAGCACAAAAATCTGGGGGAGCACATGTCCCCTATGCCCCCCCATAGACTGACCTGTGGGGAACTGCAGGAGCTGCTCTCCACCACTGCCTGGCTGCTATATGCATGTGCACGCACACACATGCACCTGGTGTCCCCTGCCTGATCACCCTCCTGCTCCCCCCAGGCCCAAGCAGCTCCTTGTAGGCTGGAACTCTACCAGCCTGTCAGGGGAAACCTGTGGTTTCCCATGCTTTTTTCCTTTAAAGTAGAAAATCTGCATTTCTCCACAGCAAACAGAAAACCTGGATCCCTGGTCATAAGGTATTGTCATAGGAGAGTAACAAAAAAAATGCCCTCAAAAAATCCTAGGAGGCATATCTTTCAACATGCTAGGTTTAAAACTTTGGCCCTGGATGCATATATTGAACTTGGTATGAGGTCACTGGTGTTTGTACACATTCCATTCTCAGACTGGGCATGGAAACAATGGAAGTTGTATGTGCAGATCTAAGGGTGGAACTTGATACCATAAATTTTTATTTTTGATATTTATGCCCTGTCAAATGGAAGTGCTTGTGTATGTGCAAATCTTTTACTAATGTGCACATAATATGTTTACCTTTTTCACATTTATGGTCTGGACCAAAACTTTAAGTAAGTTTACCATACATAATACTTATGCACAAACTCTTGCAAGAAAAAAAAAAACAGTTCTGAACTTTAGTTCACTTAAAAAATGTTTGCAACTTGCAAGGTCTTATGCAGTTAAAAATTATAAGAACAACTGGAATTTAAGGCTGTTCCCTGGGAAATAATTTGCAAATTTTTGTAGTCTTAAAAGTGTCTAATATTTTACATCTCATAAAATTACTGAGTAGCAGGAATTTCTCAGTTTGCAGATACAGTCTGACAGCATGGTCTTTGAAATAGGTTTGAAATAGGCTTTATTTCTGACCAAGAGAAAGCCAATGTCATCTGGTTCTATCTGGTGTGGCCAACCCATATGGATCTGGCATAAATTGCAGTCCAGCCTCTCATTGATTTCTGTGGAAATTCCATGTACAGAATATCACCAGACACAGATACTCATTTTCCTCTCATAACCCAAATGTAGTTTCATTCATTTGGCTTTAAGCCAGTAGAAATAGCTTCTAGATTTATTCACCCACAGCACTGCCACAGGCCATGGAGTGCTAGAATCTTGTACCTACTTTGATGGAAGATGACTACTGAGCTAAGTGTGATTGATTCTATCCAGGCTGCTTAACCAAAATGGCAGCTCATATTATGTTTGTTACTGGGGGGTAGGGGAGGAAGAGATGGAAACAGCTCACTGCATATCAGTGAGTCCATCCATGTGCGGTGATAGATTCTTCCCTGAGTCACTGAGAGTGCATCTACACATGTGCTTTAATACACAGTATCCTATTTTACTGCACATTAAAGTGTCACATCAAAAACCATGGAAATATGCTAATGCACACTAAAATAGGCTACTGCACATTAAGCATCACTAAAAAGTGTGCTTTCACTACTGTGCATTAGGGTTAGGAGCTTAATGTGCATTTATTTAGTACCTCACATTGGAGAACACTTTTACATATGCTCTGGGAGTCGGGGTGCAGTGCTTTAATTAAATAAAGCACTGCCACGTCTCATGTATCAGCATCCTCACGCTTAAAAACGGCAGTAGGGGTGCTTGAAATAAAGCTCATTCGACAACCTTTAGTTCAAGTGCCCCCACCACCATTCTTAAGTGCAGGGATGCTGATACATGAGAAGCAGAAATCTGATGGACTGCAGCAATTGCCACGCTCCAGCAGACTCGATGAACTGAGTCTGCTCCGATGTGCTGGAATTCCAGTGCATCGGAGCAGCCTCCCCGCTCATGTATAGGTGCCCAGAGGTACTAAATTTAATGTGCATTGGAAAAAGCACATTAATGCACTTGTAGGTGTGCTCTGAACATCCATATATGAAAGCAGCCGGGGCAGGTAAACAAAAGGCCTGGTACCAGCACCATACCTAGACTCCTGGTGGCCCTGGGTGAATTTTTAGTATCAGGCCCCCCTTTGCCAGAAATAATTCTAATATTATAAAAGCCTTAGTCTGTCTGCCTGTCTGTCCATAACATTTTATTCGCACTCTTATTGGTTGTCTGACAGGAGACGGTGGTGGCAGTACAGTGGAGCACTGCCATGATGGTGGGAACTGGAGCAGGAGGGTGGACAATAGGAAAAAATTACCTTTTTCAGGTTCTCTTTGTGTCCAGGCCCCAGGTGGCAGCCCAGTTCATCCATGCCTGTGTCTGGCCCTGCCTGGTACTAAAGGATCGTTCTGCTGAGTGGGAAAAAAATTAAAATAACTAACTCTACTTCTGCACTACCACATTGGCCATTATAAGGAAAAAGACTTTTCACAAATATGCATGGGGCTAAGGAATTAGAAATGCCAGGGCAGGTCCATCTCAGGCCAGATGTGGACTCCAAGTCACAATCCCGGCTGCATGCAGTAGGACTATGGGAGCTCTGCCAGCTGGCACCCACCAAAGTGAAGAGACAGTGCCAGGAAGTAAGAGGAAACCCTGGGTGGATCCAGGATTTTGTCAAGGGGGTGCAACCAGTGCTGCACC